TCTCAAGATAAACGTCCCAAGGTTGTTTTGTTTACTACTATGTCTTTTGGCAGAATTTCTTGTATTAATTTCTATTGCACAAACAAGTAGCAAATATTGTTACTGAAGCACAGAATTTGCATGATTTTTTCTCCCCGGACATTCACACAAACTGCAAACGAAGTCTTTCACCTTTCCAGTTGTTGACACTTTGCAACCGCCTTGATGGATGTATTTTGACCCCGGATTCTGACCTTGCATTCCGGCTAAATTTACTGCCCTTTCATACCAGTTCAATTTCCTTTAATTATTACATCCAAATTTCATGATATTTAATATTTAAAACCAACCTTTATTTCACAGTCGCTTTAGTTTTCACTTTTCTAAAATTATTTTACAGATCCAAAGACTTTTCACTCCCATCATGCAATCTCCCATAGTACTTCCGCAGACACAGTGGCGATCGCCAACATATCTACAAATAACCTCGCTCTCAGGAGCTGAGGAATAAAGATACTTAATACATTACACATAAGGTAAAACAAATCACGTGACAATATAATGATAATTTATATAACTTTATTACACTACTAAAAACCTTCAGAGGGTTTTTGTATGGTAAGGAACATAAATACAATGAAAATAAAAACATACAATACATAAGAGATAAAAATAAAATGTTAGTAAAATAAAAGAAAAAAATAAATTAATTACTTTCTGTGGTTTTAAAAATTGTGCTCTTTAAGTATTTTGTTAAAGCTATATTATTCTCCATAATCTTTTTAAATATGGAATTCACATCCATTGTGTAAATATTTATTGCACACTCATCAAACAGTTTTTTTCTTTGTTCTATATAGCCAGTACTAAATAGCAGGAAATGTTTTTCATCTCCTAATGCTTTAGTGTTACATTTATTACAGTGTCTATTTTCTAATTCTATTTTGGGCTTTGTTCTTCTACCTAATTCTATTTCTAAGTTGTGGTCACTCAGACGGAATTTTGAAAGCATTTTCCTGAGGCCGAAATTTGAAATGTTTTGCAAATAATTTTCCATATTATAACTTACTTTGAATAGTTTGTATGTTCTCAGTTTTGTTCCCCTATTTTCATTGGTTTCACTGAAATTTAGTTCTTCTCTCCATCTTTGAATATAAATATCAGATAGTCTGAGTTTTACTTTTTTTAGTATTTGATTCCAATTTTCCATATTGTGATCATTTTTTATTTTAATTAGATCATGTCCCAGTGTAGCATTATAGTCCTTACCCAGTTTGAATTAATTTTTATCATTTCATCCAGGGCTAATTT